TAATATTAATATTCTGTCCTATCTCCTTGAGGGGACACAGAGCAGATTCCAACATATATATATACACACATATATATATATACACATACACACACACACACACACAGACACAGGCAAACATTCAATGCCTAGAAACAATGAAACAAATACACAGACAAAGCCAAAGGCTTCCCCTTTCATCTCCAGGAGGTGGTGCTCATCTCGACTCTGGAGGAGGTGCTCATCACCATTTCCAAATTGAGGAACCTGCGTTGTCCATATACACCTCCTAGATCATGTGGCCGGCATGACTGCATTTACATTTCCGCTGAGGTAGTACCTATTGATCTACTCACATGTGCATGTTTTTGAACTGCTAGGTTGTCAGGAGCTGGGGCTAACAGCGGGAGCTCATCCCGTCCCATGGATTTGAACCGCCAACCCTCAGGTCAGCAAGCTCAGCAGGTCAACGATTTTATCCGTTGTGCTACTGCAGCCCCTGTGCTTCACCCACGGCCCATGTGCCTCTTGAAATCTCATATGTAATATCCTCTGGTCCATCCCCATTTCTGTCACCCAGCATCTGGTATTCCATGATCATAGTAATTTTTATTTTCAGTCATTTATTTTCACCATGCCCAGGATTTAAGAGTGTGCCTTGTTTCCTGTCAATGAACTGGCATTCACTAAAGCCCTAAATTATCTTTCCTCAGCAATCATAGGGTCCTTCTGCACTGATTGTTAATGTGGGCCTGATCTTGTATCCAAACACGAAATTGGGTCCACATGGCAGTCAGACAGGGACTCTCCCAACTTCCTCAGACACCCTCCTGGCACTCTGGATGTCATGAGACATAGTGCCATACCGCTAAAGGAGCTGGGAGGGAAACTACCTCCCTCTGTCGGTACTCAGGCCAACAACAGAGCATTGAAGAGATTAGGTGGGGTATCATGGCTGGCAAAGGCTGTGGCACATGGGGATACCATCCTGCATCCCCAGGCCATCTTAGCCCGGATGACAGACAAGACAGATACAGCCGGTTCCAGTTATAAACTACATGATACAAAGACAGCCCTAAAGTTTGGGGAAAGCCCTTATTCTGGGTCAGGATTTGGTCTTTCTCCTGGCCTAGCTAACCCTTGGATAAGGCCCTGTTAAGGCAGCCTTGCCCAGGTTAAGCTCAATCAACCCTGTAAAGCATTTAGCCACTGTGGGACTGATCTGAGTACACACCCACCTAAGTGGTCAGTGGTAGATGAACCCATAGTCAGTTCAGATCTGATCATCATATATGCCCTGCATGTTTTTTGTCTGAAGCGCCATCTTTCTCCATATAAATTTGCCATTCCATTAATTATTACTCCAGAGACTCTTCCAATGTACTAAGGTCCATGTGAGATGGGAATAGGAAAGATGATTTGTTCATTTATTATGCCACATTTCTCAAATTTATTCCACGTGGAGGCTGGCCCAACTAAGCTGTTATATTTCAGTATTTGACAAAAACCTTTTTATTTATCTGAGCTTCTTTATTAATTATTTTTATGCTGCATCCAATTTACTGTCTTAATTTACATTTACATGTTGTTTTATTTTTTTTTTATTCTTTTTTTGTAACCTGAAAACTCTTTTGAACTAAAAAGTGACACAGAAATGTTCCAAATATATGACAATAGTGTTTACCACACACAGCTCACTTCCAAATTAAGAGAAGTTACAGGGACCAAACACTCACCCAGGGTTCAGTTTCCATAAAAACAATCTCACTACGGATGTAAATATGTGATAATAGCTTTAATTCACACACACATATATACAAACTGAGCATGTAAAAAAAGTTTCACTACATTGATTCCCTTTCTCCATCAGCTATCTAGGGGGAGCACACAGCCTCATAAGATTTCCTACCTTTCCATGCCTTCTAGAGCTGTCCATGTCAGAAGTATCAGTCATCCATTGCCAAGTCTTTGAAATGTGTGGCCCAAAGAATCTGCACCCAAAACTCTACTTAAAAATCTTAGAAGACTGGAAGAGATTCTAATTCTTTTTATAGTCAGAGGCAGAAAAGAATGTAAAGTAACCCCAGAAAATCATGTAACTGCAACCAACAGTGGTTACATGGTGGAGCCAAGAAAATTCTCACTAAGGCCCCTTCCACACAGCTGTATAAAATCCACATTGAACTGTATTGTATGGCGTTGTGGACTCAGATCATCCAGTTCAAAGCAGATATTGTGGATTATCTGCCTTGATGTTCTGGGTTATATGGTTTTGTAGAAAGGCCCTAAGTTCCAAATAAAGCTCTTTGTTTATCAGTATGCAATTGCTATAAGGATAAGGAAGTACATGAAAGGGAGTCAGAGCCAGGTCCTATCTGCACTGACCCTTTAATGCAGTTGCAACTGGTTTCATTGTGCAAATGACTGCATAGAAAATCCTGGAACCAATTTGAGGCCCAGATGGTGATTACAGAAACCACAAACCAATGTGCATGAAGGGCTTTCTTTTGGGTGGTTTTGTGGGAGTTTCTTGTTTAGATGCAGCAGTTTTAAATTACATTTAAATTTTATTAAATAGTCAGTGCAGATGAGACCCCAGTGTGTGTTAGTCTCTGGAAAACCAGTGTCTCAGACCCCTTCCACAAAGCTGTATAAAATCTCACATTATCTGCACTGAACTGTGTTACATGGCAATGTGGACTCAGATAACTCAGTTCAAATCAGATATTGTGGATTATCTGCCTTGATATTCTCGGTTAAATGGCTATGTAGAAGGGCCTTCAATCACCAATTGGCCATGGAGACTCACTCAGGGATCATGGGCAAGTCATATTCTCCCAGCCTCAAAAGAAAGCAAAGGCAACCCCATTTGAATAAATTTTGCCAAGAAAACCTTAGATTGGGTTGTCGTAAGTGGGAAACGATATGAAGCCACACAACAACGAAAAGTCCATTAAGATATTAACAGCCCATCCTCCTCCTAAGGCGCTCAAGACAACCTAAAGGGCATCTCACTTGATCCTCTTAATAATCGTGTTAAATGGAGTAGACTGAGAATGATTTGCTCAAGATAAGAAGCAAGCAGAGATCAGGGGTGCATCTACCTTGTAGAGCGAATGCAATTTGACACTGCTTAAATAACCATGGCTCCATGCAACGGCATCTTGCGAATTTTAGTTTGGTGAGGCACCAGCATTGTGTGACAGGAAAGCCTAAATCAGGCATGAGCAAACTTCGGCCCTCCGGGTGTTTTGGACTTCAACTTCCACAATTCCTAACAGACTCAAATGAGTTCCAGGATTTTCTATGTAGTCATTTGCACAGCGAAACGACTTACTTCAGTATTAGCCTGAAACTGCATTAAATGATCAGTGCAGATCGGGCCTGGCTCTAACTCCCTTTCATATACTTCCCCATCCCTATAACAATTGTATACTGATCAACAAAGAGTTTTAATTTGGAACTATGGCTATTACGAATTGTGGGAGTTGAAGTCCAAAACTCCTGGAGGGCCGAAGTTTGCCCATGCATAGAATCATAGAGTTGGTGATTGAAGGCCCTTCTACATAGCCATTTAACCTCATGGGCCATCCAGTCCAACCCCTGCCAAGAAGCAAGAAAACTGCTTTCAAGCACCCCCGACAGATGGTCATCCAGCCCCTTTTAAAAGCTTCCAAAGAAGGAGCCTCCATCACACTCCGGGGCAGAGAGTTCCACTGCTGAACAGCTCTCAGTCAGGAAGTTCAAATGGAATCTCCTTTCTTGTAGTTTGAAGCCATTGTTCCGCGTCCTAGTTTCCTGGCTCTAACTCCCTTTAAAATACTCATCAATATACCAATTGCATACTGATCAAATTTGGAACTACGGCTCTTAGGAATTGTGGGAGTTGAAGACCAAAACACTTGGGAGGGCTGAAGTTTGCCCATGCCTGCCCTAAATACTTTTTAAAACTACATCCCCTGTGATTCCATAGCGTTGGGCAGTAAAAGTGATGTCAAACTGCATTTATTCAATAGTGTGGACTCACCCTGGTTCATGATTCGCATCAACTGTCAAGTAAGAACGAGAGAGCTTGTGTAAAGATATTGTCGAAGGCTTTCATGGCCAGAATCACTGGGTTGTTGTAGGGTTTTTCGGGCTATATGGCCATGTTCTAGAGGCATTCTCTCCTGACGTTTCGCCTGCATCTATGGCAAGCATCCTCAAAGGTAGTGAGGTCTGTTGGAACGAGGAATGTGGAATGACCAGGGTGGAACAAAGGACTCTTGTCTGCTGGAGCTAGGTGTGAATGTTTCAACTGACCACCTTGATTAGCATTTGATGGCCTGGCAGTGCCTGGGGCAATCTTTTGTTGAGAGGTGATTAGATGTCCTTGATTGTTTCCTCTCTGTTGTTTTGCTGTTGTAATTTTAGAGTTTTTTTTAATACTGGTAGCCAGATTTTGTTCATTTTCATGGTTTCCTCCTTTCTGTTGAAATTGTCCACATGTTTGGAGATTTCAGTGGCTCTTCTGTGTAGTCTGACATGGTGGTTGTGAGAGTGGTCCAGCATTTCTGTGTTCTCAAATAATATGCTGTGTCCAGGTTGGTTCATCAGGTGGCTTCTCTGTGTAGTCTGACATGGTGGTTGTTAGAGTGGTCCAGCATTTCTGTGTTCTCAAATAATATACTGTGTCCAGGTTGGGTCATCAGGTGCCAGGCTATCAAATGCTAATCAAGGTGGTCAGTTGAAACATTCACACCTAGCTCCAACAGACAAGAGTCCATTCTCCCACCCTGGTCATTCCACAGATATATAAACCCTTTTCCTAGTTCCAACAGACCTCACTACCTCTGAGGATGCTTGCCATAGATGCCGGCGAAACGTCAGGAGAGAATGCCTCTAGACCATGGCCATACAGCCCGAAAAAACCTACAACAACCCTTATGTAAAGAGCTCCCCGCCACCACACTCCCTCGGCCACCACTGATGACGTCTCTCTCCTCCAGCGCCGACTCACTGCGTCCCGCTGGGCCCCCGAGATGTTCCCCTCTTCTCGCGAGAGTTGCCTGAACGTGAGTCCGTGGCACCGGCCGGAGCCGGGATGGCCCCTGGCCTGCTCCGCAGAGTCGCCGAATGGGATTTCGCGGCTCCCAGGCCGGCGCGGGGATGGCGCCCCGAGACCGGCCGGTAGCGACGCCCCTTCCTCCGGCCATGCGCAAGCGAGGGGCCCGGAAGCGCCTCAAGTTCCGGGCCGGCGACGTCTGCTTGGAGCGGGGTGAGTGAGTGACGGCGAGGCCTAGCGGCGCCTGAGGGAGAAAATGCCCTGTGCTTCTCCTGAGAGGCCCTGAACATTCTCGCTTGCTTTCTCTCTCTCTCTCTCTGTAGTGACCGTGGCTGACTACGCCAACTCGGACCCCGCTGTGGTAAAGTCCGGGCGCGTCAAGAAGGCCGTGGCCAACGCCGTCCAGCAGGAAGGTGAGCCTCACCGCCCGCCCTTTTTGCTCTTGTCGCTTCTTTATATATTGCCATCACTTTACTGGGAGGGGAAACTTGGGGTGCATCTACACCAGGTATGAGCAAACGTGGGCCCTCCGGGTGGTTTGGACTTCAACTCCCGCCATTCCTAACAGCCTCAGGCCCTTCCTTTCCCCCCAGCACTTAAGTGGCTGAGGGGGGAAAGGAAAGGGCCTGAGGCTGTTAGGAATGCTGGGAGTTGAAGTCCAAAACACCCGGAGGGCCAAAGTTTGCCCATTCCTGATCTACACTGTAGAATTGATGCGCTTTGACAACACTTCAGTGCCATGGCTCAATGCTATAGAATCCTGGGAGTTGTAGTTTGAGAAGACCTTAGCCTTCTTTCAGCTAAGGGGTACTTTGAATGCGATTTTCCTGCTTCTTGGCTGGGGGGGGGGGGGGGGGAGGTTGGACTGGATGGCCCAGGAGATCTCTTCCAACTCTGATTCTATGATTCCAAAGACCCCTAGTGCAGTGGTTCTCAACCTTCCTAATGCCACGACCCCTTAATACAGTTCCTCATGTTGTAGTGACCCCCAACCATAAAATTATTTTTGTTGCTACTTCATAACTATATTTTTGCTGCTGTTATGAATTGTCATGTAAATAACTGATATGTAGGACCAAATTTGGCACAAATACCCGATATGTCCAAATTTGACTACTGGTGGGGTTGGAGAAGGGATTGATTTTGTCCTTTGGGAGTAGTGGTTTCTGGGATTTAAAGTTCACCTGTAATCAAAGAGTATTCTGAACTCCCCCAACAATAGAATTGAACCAAGCTTGGCACACAGAACTCCCATGACCAACAAAAAATACTGGAAGGGTTTGGTGGGCATTGACCTTGAGTTTAGGAGTTGTAGTTCACCTACCAATGGCTTCAAAGTACAAGAAAGGAGATTCCACCTGAACATTAGGAAGATTTTCCTGACTGTGAGAGCCATTCAGCAGTGGAACTCTCAGTGTGGTGGATGCTCCTCCTTTGGAAGCTTTTAAACAGAGGCTGGGTGGCCATCTGTCGGGTATGCTTTGAATGCATTTTCCTGCTTCTTAGCAGGGGGTTGGGCTGGATGGCCCATGAGGTCTCTTCCAACTCTATGATTCTATGATTATACCTCCAAAGAGCACTGTGGACTCAAAAAATGATGGGCCTGGAACAAACTTGGCACAGCTACTCGATATGCCAAAATGTGAACACTGGTGGAGTTTGGGGAAAATAGACCTTGACATTTGGGAGTTGTAGTTGCTGGGATTTATAGTTCACCTGCAATCAAAGAGCATTCTGAACCCTACCAATGATAAAATTTGGCCAGACTTCCTACACAGACTCCTCATGACCAACAGAAAATACTGTGTTTTCTGATTATATTAAATGACCCCTCTGACACCCCCTCACAACCCCCCTCCAGGGGTCCTAACCTCCAGGTTGAGAAACACTGTCCTAGTGCCTCACCAAACTACAAATACCAGGATCCCTTAGCATTGAACAGCAGTTGCGTCCAACCGCTGGTGCTCCAGGTGTTTGTGCCTCCCAATTCCCAGAAGGCTGGCTTATGCAATATTCAGGAATTCTGGGAGCTGGGGTCTAAAACACCTGGAAAACCAGAGGTTGGACACCACTGTTCTCCAGTGTAGATGCACCCAAGGAAAGGAGATAGCAGTGCGAGAGGGGATTAAGTCCAGCAATAACTGCCTCTTCTTATCCAAGGCCAGTACAGGGGTGTGAAGGGTAGCAGCATTTAAAAAAAGTATTTAGTAAAAGGTAAAGTCTAGTTATGTCCGACTCTGGGGTGTGATGCTCATCTCCATTTCTAAGATGAAAAGCCAGCGTTGTCTGTAGACCCCTCCAAGATCATGTGGGCAGCCTGACTGCATGGAGGGCTGGTACCTTCCCGCAGAAGTGGTACCTATTGATCTACTCACACTTGCATGTTTTCAAACTATTAGGTTGGCAGAAGCTGGTGCTAACAATGGGAGCTCACTCCACTCCCCAGATTCAAACCGTCAACCTTTTGGTCAACAAGTTCAGCTGCTCAGCTGTTTAACCCGTTGCCCCACTAGGGGGCCTTTAAAATATTTATGTTGATAATTTTGTATATTGAATAACAGTTCATTATAAAACATCTAAAATCAAGGCCATTATGTAACATGTGGCAGATAATATCAAATACATTGTGGCACTGTTAGTTTTGGGCAGGTTGGTTTTAAACATGCCTTAAAGCCCATTTTAAAATAACATATGCTGTAACTGGTATATGCAGTATTGTATAACAGTTGCCCAGAAACTCTCAGTTGGCAAACCACTGGTGTGTAAGGAAACGAAACCTGCCACGTCAAGGAGTAACTGTGGGAGGCGCCAGACTATAGCCTGGGGTGGTTCCTGGACTAGTGCCAGTCTGTGAGCCATTAGCTGCCACTCTCTGGAGATAAAGGAACTATTATAGGCAATGGGCATAGATACAATGCAGATACATTTGTGCACTGGGAAAAGAAAAAAAAGTCAGTTCTCCACATCAGATATCTTAAGAAACATGGTCTAGAGCAGTGGTTCTCAGCCTAAGCCATTAGAAAAAGTGTACCTTTCTATCAGAAAGTGATAGTGTGTGTGTGTTTGAGTAGACTGTAAAATGTGTATGCAGTCATAATAAAAAAATAGGAAATCTTTAGGCACTCCCATTGAAGAAAAACAACGAGCTGTTAGAACCATATTGTAAAAAATTTGAATTGCTTATGCAAACCATTCTGTTATTCCCTTCTGCTTTTTTGAGTATTACTTTGCTTGGTCATAGTATTGAAGTATCAATAGAAAGCACAGCCACAGAATTCACCTGAGAGGTTTGAACTCTAAATTAAACAGTGCTATACCCCTTAATGTCATGCATTTGCAGTCTTCTACATTTTTCTTCCTTCTGGTCCTTCACAGGAGAAATTAGTCTCTCCTGTCCTTATGATTTATATGTAGCATCGTTATAGTCTTGGCTCCTCATCATGCAGTCATTCAAGAGCTTGCTTTTCTCAGTGCAGCTCTTCTTTCCTATTTTCTCTAGTCAGAATTTATCTCTATCACCTCCATATTAAACAACCCTTCCTGATTAGCCATCCATTTACCAGCTCAAGATTATGTTTCTTTGTGTTTCTAGTGAAATCATTCTGTGGTTTGGAAGCATCTTGCGTACCTAGTGATGAAGTATTATCAGTGGCAGAGTCCTGTGGCAGTAGCGATGAAGTGGATTCTAAGGATTCTATTAATGATAGAGTATCGTCTAGAAAAAAGAAAAGCAAGAGGTGTAAAGGTAAGAATTGGAATCAGTTTGTAGGAGATTCTCCTGTGAACATATATTTTGGGCCCTTTCAGACAGGCCTTATATCCCAGGATCTGATCCCAGGTTTTCCACTTTAAACTGGATTATATGAGTCCACACTGCCAGATAATCTGGGATAAACAGAAAGCCTGGGATCAGATCCTGGGATATAGGGCCTCCCTCGAAGGGCCCTTAGACTCATTGCTTCTTGATTGTGTCCTGTCGGTGCATCATATAACTAAGATGTGGGCCATGTGATCTTTTTTTGGAGATTGTTCTGCAATTCCTATATTCCCCATTCAGCATAGCCAGTGGGGAAGGATGATAAAAGTTGTATTCCCAACAATATCTGGAGAACTGCAAGTTAACCATATCAGCAAAACATCTTCAGATATTTCTTGTATTTATTTATTGGTATGCAGACTTCTTTGCTTCATTATTGCTATCTGGCAAAGAGATCAAATGCTACTTTCGATTTTCCCTTGGAAGTTCTAGATTCAAATCCCTGCTTGGTGATGAAATTTGCCCTAGCCATTTAGCTACCTCATGGGGTGCTTTAAAGAAAAAAAAAGGGATAAACCTGTATATAATGCCTTGCACTAATTAAAGGAAAGAAAAACCTGATAGAAACATGGAAATATTTTGAAAAATAAAGTTGCTTCTCTTCCCATCTTGCAATTTAATAATCTGCACCCTTGCTTGTAAATAAAAAATCATGTTTTTGATTTATAATATATTTTAGAAAACATTTGCATCTGTCAGGATGTCCGTACTAGCTTGGAACTAGCTGATCTGTCCCCACCCCCCTTCACATCATGTGAAGAGGGGGAGGCTGAGAGGATGGATGGGGGCACAATATAGATGAGGCCACCTGGCCTTATGAGAAAACGAAACTGTAGGATAGCCACTGTGGGAATGGAATGTAACCAGTAGAGGGAGTGGGACTGGAGAATTATATACACAGGGGGTTGGTGGGAAAACCTTCAGAATTGTCTTTCTTATGCCTATGGTAAAACGGAATAAAGCTGTATCCAAAGATTAGCCTTTGTGAGCGTGCTTCTGTTCCAAGAGCTTCCAGGTTCTTACATTATCAGCCAGTGTGGAGGCATTCATTCCACTGTATAAAAATCTTGAAGCATTAAATTTTCATTTCATAATGTGACAACATAACTGAAACAGAATTTCTTATCTTGCTCTAGTATTATTATTGTTATTATCTTTATTTATTCCTCACCTTTCTCCCCGTGGGGACTCAAGGCGGCTAACATTCCACACTAAACAAGTTTAAAAGGTGCAATACAAAAGTTAAAAAACAATTAAATAACAGTGTGCTAAAAACAGAATTAAAATACACTAAAATGGCATTTAAAACTCATATTATAATAATAAACTTTATTTGTATGCCTCCTCCTCTCCCAAAAGGGACTCGGAATACAAATAAAAGAGCAGTTTACAACAAAAAATCTGCCCAATCCATCCAACCTCCCGAAAACCTGCTTCTTACCATTCCCGAAATACCTGTTGGCAGAAGAATATTTTCTATCAGAACCAATCAGATAATGAAGTCTTATGTTTCTTTTTGTGTTAAAAGGAAACAAGTTCCTCATTCTATTGAAGCAGGGTGTGGGAATGAGCTGTGATGGTGCAGTAGGTTAAACCCTTGTGCCACAAGACATCCCCAGCTTCCCATGCAGGGACATGAGAGAAACCTCCCACAGGATGGTAAAACATCTGGATGTCCCCTGGGCAGTGTCCTTGCAGACAGCCAATTCTCTCACACCAGAAGTTACTTGCACTCTATTCTCAATTCACTTCTTCGTGATAAAAAAAGAGTATGGGAATTACCTGGCCCTCCCAAATGTTGTTGGACTGCTACTCCCAGAATTTCTTACTATTGACTATATTGGTTAAAGATGCTGGAAAGTACAGTCTAACAGCCATTATGATTCTCAATCCTGTTTTCTTTTAATTAGCCTTGATAATATGGCAGTTGCCACTGATTCCATTTTTCTTTCATTTTATACAGAAAATTCTGATGGAGAGGTAGGCAGAGAATATCCTATCGATATTTGGTTGATGCTGGCATCATACATACGTCCAGAAGACACTGTGAATTTCTCTCTAATTTGTAAAAGAGCTTGGACTGTCACTTGCACTGCTGCCTTTTGGACCAGACTGTACAAAAGGTAATTGCGGTAGTGGTTGCTATCGTTACATTTGCTTTTGTTACATTTATATTGTGGGGTTTTCCCACTTTGGAACTCAGAAAACTTCCAGCAGTTACAACAAATAATAGTTAACATGAACAGCATTCAAAATTTGACAATTGAAAATAGCTAAAACAAATAAAAGGCCTGCACATTATACAAGGCCTGTTTCTCAAAGGCCTGCTGGAATGAAAGGATTTTTTTAACTGCCTGCTGAAAAAGATATTAGTCAGGGGGCCAGACTGCCAGACTGTGGGAGCAGTCAATGAGAAGGCCCTCTCCTGCAGTCCCATCAAAGTGCATGTGAGGGACAAAGAGGAGGGCCTTTACAGATCTCAATACACAGACAGATTCATAGGGGAGAGTATGGCTTGATCTAGACTGCCGTATAAAATCCAGATTATCTGCTTTGAACTGGATTACATGGCAGTGTAAACTCATAAAATCCAGTTAAAACCAGATTATCTGGGTTATCTCCTTTGATAATCTGGATCATACGGCAGTTAAATCCAGCCTATGATCTTTCAAATAACTTGGTCCTGAACTTTCTATGAGTCATCACCAGAACTTTGAATCCTGCTGCAAAGCTAGTGGAGCTGTTGTAGCCAATCCCAATTAACAATCTGGCTCCAGCTCTTTGGACCAGCTTGGCTTTCCAAATATTTTTAAAGGAAGCCCCACATAGAACACATTATACTAACCCAAATGGGATATAACTAAAGCATGTTCCTGTAAAGATGCTGTTTAATAGGATCTATATAGGTGCTTCTGGTGGAGTTTGAAATGTCCTGCTCAGGGCCCTTCCACACAGCCATATAACCAAGAATATCAAGGCAGAATATCCCACAATATCTGCTTTGAACTGGCTTATCTGAGTCCACACTGACATATATCTCAGTTCAAAGCAGAAAATGTGGGATTTTATTCAGCTGTGTGGAAGGGGCCTCAATTTAACAATTCTATGTGGAGTAGTTGTTAAATTTATGGAATCTATGTCCTGAAATATACTGAAATGTTTAAAAAATGTTAAAATGATTATCTGAATATGTGTGATATAACTATATAATGGTGTTTTAGGTGTCCATAAAGTACAAAGATATAACTGTATTATTTTCAAAGCGGAATCATGAAGTTACATAAAGATCTGAGTAGTGAGAGGAACATTTTGGTTGTATTTTCTTTTAAGTGACTCTTGAACTTTCTTTAAGTTTTCAATCTAGTGTACAGTGTGTTTTATGTGGCAACATTGCTTCTCGAAGCAGGTTCAGTGGAGAAACTAGCTTCAATGGCTATATGTTTATTGAGCACTTATTGTGAAGAATAGAACCAGTAACCCTTCTGTGTATGTAACATACAGTCAGCTCTCCATATCCACAAATTCAGGCATATAAGGTTTTAAAATATGTATAAATATGGTTTTGCCATTTTATGCAAGAAACTTCATTTTACTACGCCATTGTATATAATAGGACTTGATCATCTAGATCAGACATGGGCAAACTTCGGCCCTCCAGGTGTTTTGGACTTCAATTCCCACAATTGTGAAGTTGATGTCTAAAACACCTGGAGGGCCAAAGTTTGCTCATGTCTGATCTACAGATTTTGATATCCACAAGGGGTCCTTCCACCAAACCTCAGTGGATAGTGAAGACGATATGGCACATTAGACTAATGACCCTAGTTTGTGGAGATATAGGTAGATGATCATGGACATCACATTCTGACATACCTGTGTTCTGTCAGCTATATAAGGGCAAACTAGGGAAAATAATAATTTAGGACAGTATATTTCATTTCAGGTTTTTCATTTCAGGCATAGTACTAGCTTCTTCCAAAGTGTTTTACTTTTAAATTAGAAAAAAATGTAAAGATGGCAGCCCTCAAATTTTCAGGTGGCATGATATTTGTGTTATAAACGTGGTTGTTTATAAGAGAACCATAGTTCATTATGCAAAACAGATGAAAAAAGCAAACAGAGCACTACATTAACATCTCTTCTGCTTTCTCATGCTCTGTGTTCGGTTTTACAGTCAGGTTTTTCATGTTGCTGTGGTGAGCATTGTTAGGTTACTTGCATTTTGGTTGTTCATCAGTTGATGCGTATTACTGCAAAGGAACCCTTGACAATGCCTGTGTGAGAGGCAGTGCCGTTTGTAATCTAGCAGTATAACAGAATATTTGAAAGGAGGCACAAGGTTCCTTGTTGCAGATGAAACATGCTTGCCCTTTACTACCTTGAGTTCAAGTCTGAGCTGTAAGCTCTCAGACAGAAGACCTTCATTGATCACATTGGATCTGCAAGGGTAGTTGCTCTTTTACCTTTACCCTATATGCTTTTATTCAGGACAGGAGCTGTTAAGACACTGTGGTTTGTTCCCTTTCAGTACGATCTTGGTACCACAATTCATAGAAATCTGACGCTACTGTTAACTACATACACATGATGGTCTGTGCCTGTCATGTTGTAGAACAAGCAAATGTATCTAGGCGTACCACATCTCTGCACAAATACATAAGATAAAATGAACTCAAGCATTGGCTTAGTCTTTATGTAAAACCTAGAATTTGTCTTAAATTCATTTTTATTGATTTTCTCTAAGGCACTACAATAGGAATGCTACCCTCCCAATCCGCTTGCAGCCAGAGTCAATGGAGAAGATGTACTGCCTTCGTGCATGTGTAATTCGGTCTTTATACCATATGTACAGACCTTTTGTTTCTCACATAGCCAGAAGCCCAGCTATTCCAGAGACAACTCCAAGCACTCTAAAAAATTCAAAAGTAAGTTTGACAAGAAATGTCAGCTGTGTAAATATGTTTTTGTTAAGGCAGAGCAGTGCATGTGAAGAAACCTGCTTTAGATCTTGTTTTCGATAGATTTCACATTTAATGGGGATACTTTTATGAATCGCTCTTTGTTGATGCTATAGTTCTGTTTTCTTAGGAGCTTTTAATCTATAATCAATTGCCATTTGACCTGACAAAATTGAAATCAGCCTATTTAGGACATTCCTTTTTTTTGTGTAAACACAAACTTGTAACATGACTTCTTTCTGTACAGTCCTCCAAAGTGTGTTGTATGACTAATATTCATCCAGATAGTTTACATTCCCATCAGTGTTTTCATACTGCAGGACATTTTGGCACTAGGCAATTCCTTATTCATTAGACAGGAAAGAATTGGTATTCTGGATTCTTGTTCACACTACAACGGCTTTGGTGTCCATAGTGAATGCTTCTTATGATACTAACAATTTGTACATACTTTAGATGTAAATAATAATCTAAGAAAGGAAATTAAATATGAAAAGACTGTACGGCAGTAACTGTTATGGTTTGGCTTAAATTCTAAAAGCATAGAAATTTGCCATTATTCTTATGTCATTGCTAAAGTGCAAGCCATGCCTTGGTATGTACAGCAGTGCCTTTATGCACTGTGGAGCCATAGAGCCTTTTTTGGTTTTCCTCATTTATCATCTTCTCTCACTAATGGGAGATAACCATGTACTTTGATCATACAAGGCACGAAGAACTTATCCTTTTGGTTACTGAATTCAGCTTTTTATATTTAATTTCCCTTTCTCTTTCTCAGTGTAGCTTCTGTGGGACACTGGAGCCGTTGTGGTGTCAGCAGAAGTTTGTCCTTAAAGACACCCCACTGTTGGGAGCAGCAGGCCACATGGTATACATCTGAAGGGTAGGACAGCTGATATGTGGATGACATCTTCTCCCCATTAGGAGGTACTCATGTGCTTAAATTACTTTCCTCCATGTGACTAATGTTTGGAAGTAGTATTTTGTACAGAGAGCATGTTTCTGCCAAGCTCATTTTCATGAAAGTATCTAGCTTCATGTTGTTTTTGACCTATGACGACCCTAAGGCAAGCTTCTCTCAGCTTTTTCTTGGCGAGGTTTGTCTTGAAAAGGTTTGCCAATTCTTTCTTCTGAGGCTTTGAACTTAATTACTTAATTTGGATCTGTGTTCTTTATAAAGCCTGCTTAGAATAAATGTATTGCTGTTGAAGACTCTTGTATGTGTAGCACATAATATATTGCTGTTGAAGACTCTTGTATGTGTAGTGCATAAGACTGAAAGAAAGGCTCTGCTAAGTAAAGGTTTCCCCTGATATTAAGTCTAGTTGTGTCCGGCTCTGAGGGGTGGTGCTCATCTCCATTTCTAAGCCGAAAAGCCGGTGTTGTTAGCATAATGTATAACCTGCTAATCTAAACTTTCCCTATCCAATGGCAGCAGAAAAGTTCATTCGAATTACACCACAGTGCTATTGTTTTATTTCCCCTTGCCTGTTTGTGTGTTTAGAACAGGAACTCTGCAAACATATTGATTATATTTGTATCCTATTTCTTGGGATTTGTGTGAAAGGTTGCAGATACATGTAAAGAGATAAGATGGGAACCAATCTTACCAGGTTACAGACAAATAATAAAATTATATTAAAAAACTTGTTTCTTGCATCCCATACCAAGGTGTAGTCCGAAGTGCAGATAAAAGTCAGAAGATGAACTTTCTAGGAACTGTTCCATAAATTGGTATGAAAGGCTGTTGTGCGTAGCTACACATTCATAATAATAATAATAATAATTTATTTATACCCCACCACCATCTCCCCAAGGGGACTCAGGACGGCTTACATGAGGCCAAGCCCAACAACACATCATGTGAAGAACTCCCAGAATATTTATGAAAATTTCTATCATAAAAAACGTTTTTTCAATTTTTTTTTGTTGAAGAAAAATAACATTACAGCATAATAAAAATAAAGTGACTGTAATTTTCAAACCAGTATCGTAAATACTCGACTATAAGCCGGGTTTTTCAGCCCTCTATTTAGGCTGAAAAGCTCCCCTTGGCTTACACGAGTTGGATAATGTGATTTTAATGCTTTTATTAGGTGTTTCAATTCTTATATTTCATGTTTTAAATGTCCTTTTATCTTATCTTATGGTGAATTGTCCTATTGATTTTATGCCTAGTTATATGTTGTTGGTTTGAGTTTTGGTTTATGTATGTAATGCATTGAATTTTGCCGTTAATTTTGTGTAAACAGCTTTGAGTCCCCCCAGGGGTGAGAAAAGCAGTATATAAATACTGTAAATAATAGATAAATAAATATCATCGCATCAATTTTTTAAATTTTTTGCTGGGTTATTATTATTATTATTGCTACATTTATTTTTTCTGTATTATTATTGCTATTATTACATTTACATTACTTTACTCTATTACTATTTTATTGCATATATTATTTTACTCTATTATTGAAAGGGTATGTAACACATTTACGTTGAAGATGGTTAGAATAATGGTTTAATCAGAGTTGGACAGTCTTATCCTAAATTACGGTTTTATGTAGATATTCAAAAACATTTAACCTACTGATGCCTCAATTAATGTAATTTTATTTTGAAATTTACCAGTAGTTCCTGCATTTCGCACCCCCGACTTATACTCGAGGCATTTTCCCAGTTTTTTGTGGTAAAATGAGGTGCCTCGGCTTATATTCGGGTCGGCTTATACTCGAGTATATACAGTATATCAGTTTGTTAAATCTTCTATTAATTTTTCTAATGCTGACCTTTTGGAAGTAAGTTCATCAGATTTTACTGAGATGACATATGGGTTACATACAGTAATTTAAGTCTTCATGTTGCAAGTATTTTTCTTTGGTGTTTCAGTGTCTGCTTTTCTGGTCAAGAAGGGTTGAGCAACAGTCTTCACGGTGGGAATTCAGCTTCAAATTACAAAGGCAGGTATGAAAACTAAATATTTATTTATATTAGTGTGGCTACCGCTGCAGATTCTTTACATACAAAGCTTCAAAGAGTCAAGAAATGTCTATAGGGCAGGGAACAAATGGGTTTTAGCCCATCATAATCTGTCAAAACCAGTCTTATAAATTCTCCTGCCATAGCATGTGCCCACTTTGTTCCCAAATTTGAGTCTGTAGGAAAAATCTTCAGGTGTGAAAATTGGTAAACATGTCATCAGTTTCCAGTAAATTGAATGAAACTAGAGTGTTTCGTTTCAGGCTCCGAAGTTCAAGAATACCTGTTTGAAACGTCTCCAGCCACCTCTCCGATACGAAGATGTCCACATAAACCCTGACCAAGACTGCTGCCTACTGCAGATCACTACCCTTGACTTTATATATATTCCTATAGTGATGGGCATGACAGTTACCTTGGTAAGTGCTAGGAGCTGCATACTTATATCCGAGTCTGTAAAGCTATCCACAAAACAATATTTTACCAGTCTTGCTAGAATAGAAATGCTGTCTATTCGATGTATAGAGATAGAGAGTAGGTTTTCCTCATGAATTCTAAACTTCATGGATTGAGGATAGTCACTGCATATACTTCTGAAGTTCAAATAAGGAAGGTTCTTTTTACTGTTGAAAATTAATGGTAAGTAAAGAGACTATCAATATGTACAGCTAAAATTTTAGAATACCTAAGGACCCTTTCAGATAGGCCCTATAACCCAGGATCTGATCCCAGGTTTTCTGTTTATCCCAGATTATCTGGGAGTGGGGAGTCATATAATCCAGTTTAATGCAGAAAATCTTGGATCAGATCCTAGGATATAGGGCCTGTCTGGAAGGGCCCTAAAAGCCATATTAGCAGAGCTGATGATCTAGTGATCCTGATTTCAGGATTCGCTATAGGCTTATAGTTCTTTACCTCAAGGTAAAGATTTTGAGAGGAGGACTAAAGCATCTTAATATAACCTCATTGGATGCTGGAAACCCACCCTGGTTCTATTGGTGATTGTAAACCATCCCATAATTTCAATGCACTTTAGCGGTCAGATTTTTATTATGATGTTACTGTACTAAATGAGATTTTATTATGCTTTTATTAATTAATTTATGTTGTTTTAATTCATTTACTTTGGCTAGTTATTATAAGTTACATTGATGTTTTATTATTGGTTTGATTTGGTGTGTGTGTTTTCATTAATGACATTGAATGTTTGCCACTTTTTTTGCATGGAAACCTCCCTGAGTCCCCTTAGGGGACATAGGGTGGACTATAAGATTATTATTATTATTATTATTATTATTATTATTATTATTATTATTATTACCTTATGGTAAAACTATGTGAAAAGACAAGCTTGTAATGTATCTTAACTCAAAATATGTTCCAAGTCCAGCTCTTGTAGAAAACCAATTTCTTTAAAATACCATTGACTTCTAATAGGACTGAATGAAATTAATGCATTCTCTTTTAAATTAGTACGTTGATCTTAAGGGGACCTCTGATTTTGTTTCCCTGGCAGTTCACAATAAATGTAAGCACTGATATGAGGCATCACAGAGTGAAGATGGTTTTCCACGATTCCCCAGTTTGGAGTGGCAAGAAACAAAGATTTGACCATGGAGTGCAAATCGTAATGGACCCTGTGCATAGTGTGCGTCTTTTCGATTGGTGGCATCCACAGTTCCCCTCTTCACACTTCTGAGACATCCCACGTAATTTACATAATATGAACTGGAAAAAAAACCTTCAGGAACTTAATTTTATTTTTAGACTATATTCTATACTATCGACATAAATGACTGAACTTGATAGTCCAGCCTGTGCATATTTGATCACAAGTGTGAAGAAAACTGTTGTAATGAAGTTACATAAACACTTACTACGTTTTATGATCTGAGGGGAAATTCAACTGATTTTTTCTATTGTTAATTAAAGTTATCCTATATTCTCCTTTGAAAGTGAATGAAGGTAGAAAGATTAAAAGTTCTGATACTACTGATATGGTAGAATGATGTTGATAGCTGAAAGATTCTAGTGTTTTAAGCATTCCTCATTCTAGTTCTGTGTAAGAAAACATCAGATAATACAGGATTAACTTTTTCTTACATAGGGACACTTCGGGGTCTTAAGGATGTAGCTCACTAACTGTCTTGGGGGAAAGACAAAGTAGTCCTTAGAACTAAATTTATAGAAATTTATTTCAGATTGCTTAGTGTTAGGAAATTACTAATTACAATGATACCAGGTTTTCCTATTCTGGTAATCAAATGTGGGCAACCAGTTTCTGCCTGCCATCCTCTAACATCCTGCCTCTAGATACCCCCCAAAATGCAAACTATCAATTGCTGCTGCTAGACTGCTAGCAAGAAAACTCTTCCTCTTGCATTATGTTTCCCAGCAGAATCAATCCTCAGCCAGAGAAGATGCTATAAATGCCTTGTGGAAGGGAGATCTAAGCTTCCCTTACACCCCAGTGCCACTTGTGTATGCGCGCACATGTATACATGCAGCTGTCTCAGTCCTTGCAAATATCAGCTGTTAATTAAACTTGTATATAGATTAATACTGGGTTGCACCCAGAATTAATCATGCTTAGAGTAAAACCATTAAAATCAGTAAGGTAATTTGGTCATTAGTATTTGCCATATTTATTTCAAAAACATCTAAATCTGGCTCCAGCCTACTTATTGCAGTAACTGTCTCTTTACCGTATTGCCGAAGGCTTTCATGGCCGGAATCACTGGGTCGTTGTAGGTTTTTTCGGGCTATATGGCCATGTTCTAGAGGCATTTCTCCTGACGTTTCGCCTGCATCTATGGCAAGCATCCTCAGAGGTAGTAAAGTGACTCTTTACCCTTTTCACTTTCATTGGGCCCACATATAAATGTGATATAACTGTTTCTTGTCTATATCACAGGCTGCTTTTGTACTTTCCTAACACCAAGGAATCATGCCAGTTTTCTTATTTAGGTAATTGGAGGAATTCTTTCTACCTGGCTAGCTTTCTACAGGATTTCTGAGTCAGGTACTTTTTCAACAGAAAAGGAAACCTTGATTTCTCCCCACTGGCTTTGTCCATCTAGTAGGGAGAAATGTTATTATGTGCTTTCTAGTCATTTCTGGTTTATCGCAACCCTAAAGCAAAGTTATCTGAAGATGCATTGAGATTGGGTTTGGCTTTGCTTTCCTCTGAGGCTGAGAGAGTGACTTGCTCAAGATCACTGAAGTTTTGTCATTTAGTGTGGTCTTGGGTCTTCATGTTTGTGTGGTGTAAAAATGATACAGATGGGTAAAACAGTCACTCAGCATGGTGCTATGGTACACAATTCTTGAGGAAGAGTTAATGTATTAATTTGAAATGTTATAAATATTTTTATATGAAGTCCAATGCATCTGCAAGTCTGTTTTGCCTCTGTTAACAGACAGGTTGAAAAGAAATCATTTGGAAGAATGAGCGAGATCAGTGGTAGGATTCATTGACCAATCTGTAAAACATAGAAATCAGTGACTCTTGTAGCAAAATGACTACCAGAAGGAATATCATCTTCCGAGTTACTAATCTTAGATCACATGAGGCCATAGGCTCGAATGGTCTCTTAGATAGGCTTCATTGAGCAGTAGGTCCAACTACAGGTGGGTGTACATTTTTATATCCCTTCAAGAAGGTTTTAACTGGAGGGTCCTGGACACACAAAGACTTGCCAAGGCATTGGAAATGCCAAGAGGCAGCTGACAAAATGATGACAAGCCCTTATCCAACAAGTGTAATAACATGTCCAACATATATGCAATCTATGCCTCTGGAGTGAAACTTTTGACTTGGGGAATTCAAGGAACTTGGTCCACTTACAAGCATAGGAATGCTGAGCAGATGATCTGCATGCCACATCCAGAATGTGTGTGACAACGGCAGAGAGGGGAGACAGACTCTGTAAGCCATCTGCTTTGTGCTCTGAGAGTCTGGATGTCTCACCTTCCTTTCTTGGACCTGTTTATAACTAGCTGATTTGTATGAATTCACAGAGGACCACTTAAAGAGCTACAGTTCCAGGTAAGCAACCTTTACTCAAAGAAGTCTTGGTCCACCTTTGGTTCCCAAATATCACCTTTTTTGGTAGGACTATAAATTTACCCTGTTACTACATGAGACTACTCATTAAAACAGCTTTCAAGGGATTTTCTGGGGCATAAAAGTCTTTATTGCCATGTGATAATAGAGGCTGTCACTAGGTGGCATTAATACAGAAAGTTTCAAAGAGGCACCTGGTTACTCTTTCTCAAAGGAAGGGAGGAATGGGAAAGGATGGAAAAATTGTGTTCAAAAATTGCAGAGAGTACTGTCTTTCTCAGGCCTAATTCAAAACTATTTTATTAGTATTGTGATGGAAATGATAATAACAATAAATGAACCCTCACTAGTTCTCCATTCCCTGGAAGCAAGAAGGTCACATAAGAAATTCTTGACTCCATCCTGTGTTTTCATTTGGACTATTCTGCTTGGCAGTGAACCTCACTCTTGTGATAATCCTTCCCTAATGTACCCATATACTTTTCAAATTGGGAAAAGAGTCATAAGTACAGGAAAGGGGCCAACTAAAGTGTTTTAAAGTATATAACAAAGACACTGAAACAATTACAGATGGGTGGGCATCACATTTCACATAGTTTTTATGCAGTGGATTTGAAATAAAGGCTGAGAAACATTTATGCCATAAAGGGACCGCTACTTAGTATTCAATGACCTTGAAATGTCTCCTTCACTAGGGGTACCTCAGGCAACATATTTTAATTCCTTATCTGTTTATCCACAGAACATATCCTATGAAAACAGAACATGTTCTATGAATTAAATTCAGAGAACATGAGTATCAATGTTGAGAAGGAACATCAACAGTTTTAAGATACGCCAATGATATATTACTTGCAGGAAAAAGCAGTGACTTGGAAGAACTGATGAAAGTTAAAGAAAGTGCTAAACAAAAGGGTCACAGTTGAATGTAAAAGAAAAATAATGGCCACATATTATTTATATAATAATAAACAACAACAACTTATTTTTATACCCTGCCTCCATCTCCCCGAAGGGACTTGGGCAGCTTACAGAGGGACAAGCCAAAGGATTACAACTAAAACAGACACAGTAAGAACAATCAGTAACAACAAATAATAAAAACATAAAAACAATACCCTGGCTAACCAACTTGAAACTGGGTTCGGGCTCAGAGTAAGTGCAATGATTCCTTGAGAGAGCCGAGGGAAAGTGCAATAGTCAGAGGACTGGGTAGCCAGGGTAGTGCCCTTGGCCAGTAAGAGTCATAAGTACAGGAAAGGGGCCAACTAAAGTGTTTTAAAGTATATAACAAAGACACTGAAACAATTTAAATCTTTCATATTATTTAATTATTTACTTAAATGGAGACTAGTCAAGAAATCAGAAGATAAAGCATAGGAAAGCAGCTATGAAAAAACTTGATAATATCCTCAAGTGTAATAACATATAATTAAATACCAACTTCCAGGCTATTGCATTTATGATTTCTATGAATGACTGTAAAAGCTGAACTGAGAAAAAAGAAAACTGAAGAAAAACAATTCATACAAAACATGGTTTTGGAGAAAAGTTTACTGATATTGTGGGCTGTTAAAAAAAGACTTGGAGCAGATCAAGCCTGAACTTTCAGTAGAAACAAGATGGCTAAACTGAGGCTGTCATATTTTGGTCACATCATGAGATGCTGTGTCATTAGAAAACAGGACAATGTTCAGTAAAGTGGAAAGCAGTCCGAAATGAGGAAAACCAAGATACTATGGGTGAAAACATTGTCCTGAGCTTGCAAGATCTTAGGAAGACAGTGGATGGTCAGAGATACTGAAGAGATCTTATTCATAGAATTGCCATAAATCGAACTCGCCCTGTGATGACTCTGAATGACAGACTTCCAAGATCTCTTATGACATCACAAAAAATAATAGCAAATGGGGATCAGTGCTTTTGGAGATTTCAGTCTCATTTACAAAAATAATTTGAATAAATTTGGGTATGTACGCCTTTAATTGAAGGAATGAAGGGTGTCATTTGTTTACTGCCTTTCTGGCAACAGAATGCTTTATCTTTTTCTCCCATCCCAATCCCCAAACTCTCTGTTGGCAAAACTAGTATATAACTGCTGTGATTAAGAAGGGAACATATTTTAGAAAGAATTTTACCAGAGAAAACCCCGTCTAAACAGTGAAAAAGAACACAGAAGTTACCTTTATCATCAACACAAATTAGTCTGGAAAACCAGTCTTATGATGGTGTGAACCTTGGACTAGCTTTATCAGGATTGGAAAGAACATGTTTTGTAAGTCGTCTTCCTAACGCCTTATATTCTCCCATTTCCTTGGCTGACTGCTCCCACTGAGCTAAGGTCCTTGAATAATGGAGAGAGGTGAGGTCGGCTGTAACCTGATTCAACTATGCTGCATGCCTCTCTGGCTCTTTTCAGCTTTCAATTTATCTGCTCCCCTGCTCTTACCCTGCTTCAGTGGGATCAGGTTGGTTTATTTTCTTTGTTAGCTGTATGTCAGAGAGCGCCTGGGGCTGCAACATGATGCGGCCTCTAATTGGTCACTCAAAAAGCTCCTGTAATGCACAGCATAAGAGCTCTAGTGGAGGCCATACTGTTCCTTTCTGGAGGCTGTTGAGCCGCACTTGTTGACATCCCCAGCAGCTCCCCACCCTTCCTCCCCCGAACACTGCACAAAGGTGTCTTTTTTTTGCTTGGATATAGAAGCGTGTATTTTCCATTGCAGCTTTCTCTTGGTTCAGGCTTGGGACATCTGTTCTGGAAAAGGACTGGGATTGGAGCTTCTGCTTTGGGGGATGGAATTATCTGGAAGTCATGCCGCAAAGTGAAGGAGAATTGCTCAGGTATAGTACCTGTATAGCTTGGAAATATTATTGGGGGGGGGGGGTAACTCTGCTATGGGTCTCAAGAGCTGTCATGCAAAAAGGTAGCGTTCCCAGGATCTTTCCCAATGACACCTGAGACATGGTTGCCCTAGGCATTTATGACAAGCAGAGGGCCACCCAAGGTCACTAGAGAAGGCTGACAGCCAAGAAAGTTCCTTCTCGTCGTTTCAGATTCTCATTTCAGGTACCACTCAGAAGAATTGGAAAAAAAGCCAAGTGCCTTTTAGGCACTTAAGGGCTGTAGGCAGTGAGCAGGGCTTGCGCTGTGCTACTTTCTATCTCACCAGAGTAATCATAGTGATTTATTATTATTATTATTATTATTATTATTATTATTATTCATGCAAAATGCTTTTACTACAGGTTGAGTATCCTTTGTCAAAAATTCTGAAATCAAAAATATACTAATATTTTCCACATGGATTACTGAGATAGTCCCCCCTTTGGCATTTTGATTGTTGAATATACACAAACTTTATTGAGTGCATAAAATTATTAAAATATGTATAACATTATTTTCAGGCTATGTGTAAGGTGTATAAGAAACATAAATGAATTTCATTTTTAGATGTGGGCCCCACTTCCTTTATGCAAACATGTGCAAATAAAAGTATTCCGGAATCTAAAAAAACACACCTGAAATGCAAAATGCTTTTAGTTCCAAGCATTTTGGATAAAGGATATTTAATCTACATTACTATTCTTTTTCAGGTAGATCACTTCTAGATTTGTTATGATTTTTCCTACCTTTTTATTATTCATTCAAAGTGACGGAATTTAATATAATGTTAGCAAAGTTCCCAAGTATTACTTATTTAACAGAAAAAATGGTACCAAAGATAGATATAACATGAAAAGAATAGAAATAGGTTCCTATATCACTCAAAAAACAAGCAGGTCATCATGTTTGAGCAAATGTTGTATCCAAAGCTAACAACATGCACATGCAAAATGAAACATGCAAATTAGGTAAGCCTTGCATAAGTAAGCAAACACTTGAAACCTTGGAGATTGAAAGCTTCTTTAAAACTGCATATTTCACCAGCCTTCCCTTTTCACATGATTTAATGATCTCAGTGGCCAAACCTATAGATGCTTCTTTTACGTTCTGCAGGAAATTGGTGGTTTATCTGGTCCCCACCATTTTCTCTGTTTTGCTGCCTATGTACTCAAAATGAGTTTTTGGCAGCAATTCACCTTGCCTGTTCTAGCCAGGCTCACACGGCTACATAAGAGCAGATAATATTCTTTCCAGCTCCAAGGGACAAAAGGAAATCCAGCACACCTGATTTTATTTATTTATCGTATCAGAAGCAAACTGAGGGTACAGTTGTAATATATTTTTAAAAGCACAAAGTTTTAAAAACTTTGCATTATACTAAATGTCCTTTGACCAGTAGCTAGCCACTCAGAGTGCCTCTGGTATT